CGGCAGCCTCAGCGCTAAGGTAGCAGGGGGTTTTTCTGGTGACTGCAGTCTGAGGGCCACAGACTGAGGTAGGTTGTCCAGAGGCTGAACGCTCAGGTCTGTGTCTGCCGGTGGCTGCTCTGGTGGCTGGGTGTCCTCGCTGTCAGGCAGGGCGTCTATGGGAGGCACATACTCACGGATTTCTCCCGGCTCTAGAGGGTTAGGCCCACAGGGATCGTGCTCTGTGCAGCTTAAACGCCCATCCAGCTTGGAGATGAAGAGCATGCCTTCCCGGTGCTGCTTGCAGAAGGACCTGGGGCACATCTCGCAGAAGGAAGCTGCTTCCTTACCACACATATCACACTGATGCCATGGGCACTCCCATTTTCCTGCAGCACAGACACAGGAGAAAAGACATACCTTAGGAGTGGCACAAGTGGAAGAGTCAAGGCCTGCTGCAAAGTGAGTTCAAGGGAGAGTGCAAACACCCCCGTAATACTGCCATACAATTCTACATGTCCTCAGTTTCTGCCATCGCTCCCAGGCATAACAGGCAGTTAACAGGAATCCACATCCTCAGAAGCAACAAGGGCGATAATAATCATGACAAACACAAGCCACGCCAGGTCAGACCAAAAGCCCAACTTGACACTAACCACCTAGAAGAGCAGACACCCCCAGCTTGCACATCTCTGTGGCTCTGACTTCCCCAAACAACAGTGGTATCTGTGTATAATACACCCAATGGACTTTTTAAGTAGATGCGTCAGGTTTGTCTAAGTCTTTTTTAATTCTGGGCCAACAACCTCCCTTCCTGTTTATCAAAAAGAAGAAGTGAGAGGGCAGTGATCCCAAGCCAGTAAGTTTCTGTATTGTCTCTGCACCCAAAGGCATCTTCCTTAACCTCTGTGTATGGCCATGATAAAAATACTGCTTAACACAAAACCAAGCTGCTCCTTGAGGAGCTCCATCTCCACACTGAATCTATTCACCATCAGTATCAACATCACAATGGAGGAAAAAAACAACACTACACTTCAGAGACTGCTGCTTTTTTCATTTGCAGATGACCTCAGTGGTTCAGCCCCCTGTTCCCCCAGCCAAGGCTGCTGCTGTCTGTACCCAATGCTCTCACCAGTTCACGGACACAAGGAGTGTCCGTGAGATAATCTGCACCCAGGATACACGATTCTGAGTTCCTGACCTCTCACCACAGGAGCAGCACAGCTGCCTTTCTAAATACGCCTCCTGCCTCCATGCCCCCTCAACACTCCACACCCCACAGCCCCTCAGCCCCCCGCCTCGCTGCAGAGAGCAGCTCCCTGCAGAGCAGCACCCACGCAGAGTCACCAGCCAGCCTGTGCTCAGAACACAAGCGATGACAAGGGGCAGCTGTGGACACCAGCCGGGCCAGAGCACTTCCCAGGCTCCTGAACTAAGCCCACACATCTGTGGCTTTGGCTACCAGCTCTTTTTCAGGCAGGCTGGAAGAGACTGCAGCACGGCACTGAGCAGCTGTGGGCCTTTCTCAATGCACTTGTGCAACACCAGCTTTCCACTCCCCTCTCTCATGCTGCTTTTCCCCTGGGGTTGAAGACATGTAGCGTGTTTTCCCCTCCTCTGAAGCCGGTCCAAGGCTTCTGTTCTGATCTCAAAATATGTACACCGCTTTTCTGCATCTTCTCCAATTTTTCAGCATCCTTTTCAGAGCGAGGATGTTTAACACTACACTTGGTTTTCCCTCTTTTGGGCTCTCAGTGCTGCAGCATCCCCTGCACCATCAGCAACCCAGAGAGACACACTCAACACGCACTTTGGCCACTGGAAAGACTCTGGGACTATTATTATCTGACATCATTTGTACAGATGGAAAATAAGTCAAAACCTGCCAGTATGTTGCAGGAAAGATAAATCCTATCAAACCACTCTAATGGTTTTTGACAGGATAAAAGGCCTAATGAATAAGCATCTCTCCAGAGACAGTCCGGAGCAGAGGAGCTCTGGAAGTAAGATCACACAATCAGTAACACGCAAACAAGCAGGAAATTCCCATTACTCAACAGCAGTGCCCAGGGCAGAGGAAACGTCTGAAGTAAAAAGTGCTGAACCTTTCATGTCTCTAAGGAGTGGGCTTCGAAAATAACAACCTACGTGTAAAAATGGTAAAATGGCTACAACTGTCTGAAAAACATTCTCACCAAACTGCTATGAATGGTCTTCCGGCAAACTGGGGAGGCATTTCCAATGACATCTTTCAGGAGTCTACTTTAGTCTGTATTTAATTAAAATTTTTGGAAGCAGAACAGCAAATGCTCTTACAGAAATGGGTAGATAAGAACAAGGCTGTGAAGAACTGCAAAAATCTGGTTAGACAGGCTCAGAATTTAAACTGGACAGATGCTCTGGCACCATCAAGGTGCAATTAAATAAAGAACAATTTAAAGCAAGACTGCAGGAGGAAGAAATAAAATAAATATCTGAAAAGGATCAAGACAAGAGGACTCAAGGATGATAAGGCAAATCACAAACATCACATAAATATAGAAGTTGCTTTTGATAAACAAGTCAAATCTAATTTCCTGAGACATTTTATGTAAAACACAAAACATAATTACTCTGTTCTATCAGCACTTAAAATACTTGGTACTACAGTTTAAAATACATGTAGGCAAGTGGGACACAGTCTGGAGCAGACCAAGAATAATAATTTTAGAAAATAAGAACTGCAAGGAGAAGCTGTGTTTGTTTAAACTGGAAAAGGACTAAGGAGATAACAGTCTCTCAGTGTGTAAAAAAAATAGGCATTGGAGAGACAACAATCCTTTTTATTTTCCAAATCAGGCTGTTAGCAGAAACTTTTCAAATGGAAAGCAAGGGAACAGGCAAAATGCTGGATTGTCCTTTACTGGAGACTTTAAAGCACAGGAAAACCTACCCGTGCTGTAACATCCTGGTCTTTGCACACAAAAATGACCAGAAAGGTGATATTCAGGACTCCTCACCCTGAATTATGATGGTTCCACAGGAATGACCTGTACTCACATCGGCTTTCACATTGCTCAGTTACAGCATTTGTTCAGTGAGCAATCCAAGCTCTTCTCTATAAAGGGCCTATCCTCCCCAAAACTCAGCACATACACACACACACACATAACTTCTGTCATCTACAGAACAGGCTACTAGCCCTTCTACACCTTCCGCCAAATTACAGCTAGAGGAGCTGCACCCCCAGTTCTGGCTCCCCGTGGAGTGTTGACAGAAGCACTCTGCCACAGGTACTCCCCTGACAGTTATTTTCAGAGACTGCTTGGTTCCACACTTCTTAGCATGCCTCCGAGGGGTTCAGAAAATACTGTACAGCACTGCATAGAGAATTTCTGATTATGACAATGCTTACAGGATTAAATAAAAAAAAATTACAGCCCCCTAAACAAATTACTTCAATGTAGTTGCTTTTATTAACCAAATTTATTATCTTAGCAAAACCTACTAAATTAGGTTTGATGAGTTATTCTAACCAAAAACTTGTCATCTAGTATTGCTAATATTCTTATCATTTAATTCTTTAGCTACTTGATCCCGTATCAGCTCTTCCATTCTCCTGGCCTGGCAGACATCAGGCTAACTGGCCTACCAAGACTCAGGTCAGACCTTTTCCCTTTCTGAGCACTGGTTGAACCTGAACACTCATTAAAGGTCCCAGGAACTCCTTCAGTAACCAAGACATACTGAAACAACAGAGGAAACACTCCCCTCAATCAGCTCTTCCAAGACTTTTAAATGCAACTTAAATCTTTTCCTCTACTAGATGTTACTTTACACTTGAGCTACAAACCAACTATGAACTGTTTTATCACTCATTCAGGGAGCCTATTTCTTTCTCTGCATACAACTGGAAGTACTTTTTGAACATTTTTTCTTTTTATTTCACATTTCTGCCCTCATGTCACCACAAACTAGGATATGCTTGCATACCATTCTCTTCCTTAACTATGAACTCATGGCTATTCAGAGATATCCAACTCCCATTTTCCATCAGTGCTTTCCTCACCATTCAACTGTCTTCAGCTTTGGGAACACAGCCAATCTGAGGAACCAATACCTCAACTATTGTTGGGACTATCCTCTGCCAAGCCCCAAGGATGGGGTCAGCTCACAAGCACCATTTCTTAGGCAAGGACCAGCTCCCCCTTCAGCAATCCATTCACCTTTTTGCAGTCACAGTGGGGTGCAAACCATGGTTGTGTTGGATGGGCCAGAAAGTCTGTTCAAGTGAGAAAGATTTCTCTAAATTTTAAGATGCTGTGAAGCGAGTGTAAGGTGATAGGCAGCGGCTGGGAGACCTCAAGCCAATGCCGTGACCCAAGCAGAGCCCAGCCATGTGGAGCACTGACCTGCAGGTCTCTTGGTCAGGTTGAGGCAGTCCGCGTGGTACACCTTGGGGCAGCCTGGCTTCTTACAAGAAACTAGCTGCCCTCCATCCCCACAGCTGAAACACTCGTCTTCTCGTTCCTTCATCACCTCCGCCTGCGACCTGCGCTTCACCTGCGGCCGTCTCTTTAACTTCTTGGACTTTTCCTCCGTGAGGTTGGGTTGGCTCTGTGGGTGAGACATCAGTTAATGCTCTGCCCCTTCCATCTGTTCCCTTCCTGCTACACTGGAGATAACTGCAAACCAAAATCCCACTGCCAGCCGTACCGGAAACGTATGTAGCATCTCTACAGTGCTTCTTAATACTTGGCAATTGATTTACCATAGCAAACAGTTCTCATTTTTTTGGAAAAAGTCTGGAAGCCCTGCACGAAAGCCTGGTTAGACATGTGATATATGCAATGAGCAACAGCAGAACAAGGAGCCAGGGGCTGCCTGGCATTGCTGAGCTTGTGCCACCTCTCACAGACTCTTCAGGTCCTCAATCAAAGCAGCTGGGTCTTCTTGTACCCGGGATTTTCATGAGGAATCTCTCCCAGGCCTTCCTGAACTTTTCGATGTTCCTCACCTCTCTCTTAATTTTCAGTCTGAATTTACCTGTGATCAGTTTAGACTTATTTGTTCCTGTGTCGATGCTACTCTTGTTCTGCAGTTTTTCTCTCTGCCTGAAGTAACCACCAGGACACACTCTCCTTCTCACAAACCAAACATTTTCAGTCTGCACCCTCAATCCTCCTCATGGCTCTTCTCTGCCCCTATCGAGTTTATTTCTCCCAAACACAAGTTACAGAATTATACACGCTCCTTCCTCTCTTCTCTGGCCGAAGGCTTCCTCCAGCACTGCCCTGCTCCCCAAGCCAGGACCTCAGACTCGCCCCACCCCAAGCATGGGTTCTCTCCAGGCTAACCCTCCCCTTGTACCACTCAACTCCACAAAGGTGATGCTCCCTGCCCCCTGTCTGTGACCTGATGTCATGGGTTTACCCTTGGCTGGGAGCCAACCCCATACAACCTGTTCGCTCACCCTGTCCCCTTCGAGGATGGGGGAGAGAATTAAAGGGGTAAAGGGAAAAAAGGACTCGTGGGTTGAGATAAGAACAATTTAATAACTAAACTACAATAAAATACAAATATACAAATGAGTGATGCACAGTGATACCGCCCCCCCACCTGATGACCAAGGCTCAGCCTGTTCCCGGCTAACGATCCCAGAGCAGGGAGAGTCCCGAAACCGCACTCACGGAACAGAGATAACAGTCTGAGCGTCCCAGACAGAGAGCTGACAGAAAGGTAGGTGGGGTGGGGGGAGGCCTTGGGAAAGCGACCACCTGGAGCGAGATGACCCAAGGCAAAAGAGATCCGGAACCAAAAGGGACAATCTTC